GTCTAGGGACATTGGTCCTACACGAGGTTTCCCTAGGGAATCCGGAAATGGATTCGGATGGCTGAGATAAATAATTTGGAAATGGGAGAGCTGAACTGACGTTTGATGTCCAGCGCAATATTTATTTGTTCTATTGAAATTTTTGGAATTTATCATGGTGAGAATTCCAAATTATAATGAAGGACTCATGCCGCTGTATTAATTACAAGCATAAGCGAAGGTTATCAGGACGGTTGGGCCTGATGGCCAATGGGAGAAAGTGTTGCGGTCGTTATGGACCAATGAAGTGTTGCGACAATGGAATTGGAGGGAAAACCTGGGGAGCGATTTTGTTCGTTTTATGACGACATAAAATCGTAAATTTCAACCAATGACAGTCCTGGATTCGGAATACTCAACTAGGATTGGTTGAAATTTATGATTTTATGTCGACATAAAACGAGCAAAATCGCTCCCCTGAGCTAGCGTCGTACGTGCCGACACTTCTCGTTTCGACGGCATCGAAACCTGTTGAGCTTCTAGAACTGTTGTGCAAAAATTAAGAAGTAATTTATCGGAGTTTGGAAATTCTACCTCTCCCGGGGATTATAGGTCTACTGGCGCCTGTGTGCTGAGTTTTTTTGAGTTTTGGATATCATGGTGAGCGGTGGAAATTTCCAGAGAGATCTTTTGTAACGATGATTAGCGAGGTTATCATTTTTGTATCTTTGATGAATTTTGAGACGCTTGGCGTCTGGCGAATTTCGACGCCATTAGAGAGTCTAGTCATTTCTCGTTTCAAGGTCTCGCTACTTATTCGGTAGAGTGTTAATTATTTTTCTCGTGTTCGATAAATTAATTTATTGTTTCTTTGGGATAAATTTATATTTGGTTTGATGGATTATTTATTGTCCCGTTGATTGAGATAATTTTTTCTTTTATTGAATTAAATTCAGTGGTTCAAAATCTTAGCGTTATGACTCTCGTCTATCTAGTTGTCGAGGATCGGATGTGGATTTCTCGACATCTGATCGAAATTTTGTTATTTGGAATTATTTTGGATTTGCCGGTGTCTGAAATATTTACTGGATTGTTATCATTTGAGATTCGGTATCGGGATTATTTTTTGAGAAAACGGAATTGGATTTGTAGCGTCGCGTCTCGACACGCGAATTTTCATTGTCGTGTGACCTTGTGTTTGGGTTACGAATTATTATCGTTATTATCGTCTCTCAAGAAAATCCCGATTCTCGTTGACTGAAATCAGAATTTCTTATTTATACCGCCTATTATTGGGACGTTCATTCCTCAGGATAATTATAGATTCCTTTCTGTGATAACTGACTTATCAGCGACTTTGCTAGTTACTTTATCTTTTGACAATCTTTTGACTGATTTTGACTTCCTTTTAACTTAACTAGCATTTTATTTTATTGCCAAATTACGGTTAGGAAATTTGTGTTGTATCGAGTTATTAGTTTTGTTAGTTGATTGTTTATTTGTTGTGATATAAATTACCGAGATCTGAGTGAAATATTTGGAGAATAAGAAAGGGGGTATTTGAATGTTTTCTCTGTATTAATTCAATTGATTAGTTCATTTATTAAAAGATTATGTAATCCCCATAAATTCTGATTTCGTTATTTTGTCAGATAAGTTTAAAATTCAGTCATTTCAGGATTTTCGTAGGACAACATTTTGTGGAACCTAGCCGCCTCCGCGGTTGATCTGAGCTATCGGCAGTTGTCTGATTTGTTTGCGAATTTGTTGTGGATTGTTCGGATTCGTATTTTGCACGTTTCAGATGTGCTAGCGCCCAACTTTTGATTCGTTGACTTGGACGCCGAGGGCTGCGTATTTTGTATCGTTCCGCAGAGGTGCGAAATACGTAACAACACATACATACGAACATGGTCGAAAAATTGCATTTTCGGACTTTTTGGATCATAATAGGTCGATTTAACACAAAAAATCTAAAACTTAAATTTGAAAGATTACTATGCGGAAGCAAAAAAAGCAAAAATTTGAAATTTTAGCGTTTTACAATAATTGTAAGGAGTTGCAAATTTCAATTTGTGCAGACGGTACTCATTAGATATTGTAGAGGAATTTGCAATTCTTTTGTATGAATCACGAGTTCGAAGAGTAATCGCAGTATGTAAACATATCTGGTGTATATCCGAATGATCATTTGCTGTCCTCTTTTAGAGTTGCAAATTCACATTTACCCAGGAGGGAGTCTTTCTGATATAGCACCGAATTTGCAATTCTTTTGCATTATTTCACAATACTGAAAAAAATGAAAATGTCAATTATTAACAACAAAATTGTATTTTCCTCATCGCTGATCAGCTACAGAGTTGCAAACGAAACATTGGTCGTCATGCCTCATTTCTGATATTTGCAAACAATATTTGGAACTTTTGTATTTTTTTGGGTGCGATTTATCAACAATAATGACGATTTTTTATTCTTGATTAAAAACGAAGTGGTTGCGTTCACCTGAAAAAGTTGCAAATTCATATTGCTTTTGAAAGCAGTATGTGAAACTCCTCTCTCAATTTGCGGCACTTTTAAAATTTTTCCATACAAGTTATTACAAAAACAATTATTATTAACGATATTCTTATGTTGCTAACTTCCGAATTGGTTGCAAATTGGATAGAATGTAATTAATATATTGCGGAATGTTCTAGTGTATTTGCAAGACTTTTAACATTATTCTTTGTAGATTTCCAGCCAATATATTGTGTATTGTCATTATCAATATGCAGCCGACCGCGACGGGAGTTGCAAATGGAAATTTACCGTTTTTAGGGCTTACACTAGCATTTCGCGCAATATGGGTTCTTTTGCAATTATCTCTCCTATTCGGGTTTTTTATGCTCTCATTGACTGGTCAATATGGCGCGGATTTTATGGAAGGGTGATTTCATCAATGGGGAGAGTGTTTTACATAAGGGGGTCTACGTGTGTGGCAGGGTGTAACAAGGGCGATATATATGGGGGTCTTATATGTATGGAGGAGTTGTACAGGGGGTTGCATGGGGGGTCGCTGCTTTGTATGAGGGCGGTTTCGTGAATGAAGTTTAATGATGAGAAGTCGTTTTTGTGTTGGCGGTCTTTAGGCGAGATCCCTAAGGATAGATGGGACCCTTATATTTTCGGAACCTTACTTTTTTACCTTTTTTTCTGACCCTTATTATTATCATTATTTTCTGTGACCCTTATATTTTCCGACTCTTCTATATTTTTCCGTTAGAAATTATGAAGGTCAGAAAAAAAGGCGTCAAAGAAAACGAGAGCCAATAAATATAAGGGTCAGAAACATTAAATGTAAAAAAATATAAGGTTCAAAAATAAAGGTCATAACTCTTGCCTGATTTCTTGTATATGAATCCCTAGTGAAATATATGAGCCCCCCATATACTAATGCATGAGCACAAGTCCTTACTCGCATATAATCGCCCCCCCCCGCCCCCTCATAACCTTCACGCTTGCATGAAATTTCCATGTATAAAATCCATTCATGTATAGATTGCCCCATGTATAAAACCATCTTCATATATAAAACCCCCGTGTGCAACCGCCCTCCATACATAGAGGGGGGTCCTTCATAACTAAATTTCCTTATATAAACCCCATTTATATATGAGACATTCCATATATAAAACTTCGCCCATAAATAAAATCGCCCATACAAAACTCTCCTCCCAATTAATAAAGCCCTCTCTAAAAAAAATGCCCATCCATGAAACCCCCGTCCACACATCTGAAAATCTCCATATTTGGGCACCCCTCCTCTTGTCTGGGACACTTTCGCCTTTTATATACCTCGTCCGCGATTTTTGAAGCTGATCTGTAAATTTTTCAAAATTTAGAAAAAAATCAACATTGGGTTTAGAAAATATTGGTTCTTTAAAACAATCCCCAAAAACGTTAGTTTTTATCATCTTACCAAGGATAAAGGTTATGTACAGGAGTTTCTAAAATCTAGAAAGTATTTTCTAAAGATAATCCACTATTTTTCTGCGCGTGTTCTCACCTCACGGTTGTGCAGTAACATATCGTTACTGTGGCGTTTCTCTCACTACCCAAATAGCCGAATAGCAAATATAATATGAAATGGAGTCTAAATAATTCATAATAATCCAATGAATATCGGTTATGTTTGGATAATTTTTTTGCGGACCAGATCTCGTCAACTCATTAGCTATTTCAAAACGTTTCAAATATATTGATTTTTAAAATTCATACTCTCTTGGATTGTTTTTCAAACGTTTGTAAACAGAAACTATTTTTTGAGGACCTGATCTTGAAATCATCGGATGAAAAAAAGTTATATATCTCCAACTCGTTCTTCATAAAATTAGTTGTATTCCCTCATTCCACTCTATCAAGAATCACCTATTAAATAGTTAAACTCTACATGTATAAAAATTGAGAATTAAGTCATATTGTCTTACAAGAATTTGGCAATTTTTGATCTTTTTTCTCTTTCTTTTTTTTTCACTGTGTAACTTCGCCAGTAAAATTTTAATTCACAATTGAATTTACCCTCGGGTAAAAATATCCTTAATCACAAAGGCATTTTCTGAAGGCATTTGTCATTTATTCTTCACTTACCTTAACTCCACGTCTGTTTTCCTCCATTTCTTTCCTTATATTGTCATGAATAGACCGTATGCTCTCGCTTTGATACTCACATTTTTTTCAATGCTTCGTTCTTTTGAATTGCAAAAAAAATTACTCATTTTTATAGAAACGTATAGGGAATCTCTCCTTCTCCATCCGTATCAATTATTTAAAAAATTACATAAAAGATGAAACAATTATTTCAATTTGATCTGAGTTAATCAAAATAAATTATTGCCATACGGATTTGCTTTTTTCGATCAATAATCAATTTCTGTTCCGTCCTCGTATTTTCGGTAGTAACCTGGAGGACTTTACTGAAATGTATATATATATATATATATATATATATATATATATATATATATAGAACAAAAAATCGACTTTGTTGAAAAAAAAGAATGTTTTTTTTCGGAATTAACAGATGGTCTCCAACGGTGCAGTCTTCGTACTTGGATTTTGCGTCACGCTGTCTCCCATGCTTGGCATTCCGTGACTAGTGGTACTGAGTCCGTTACCCTGTCTTCCGGCATTAGTACGTGGATTTCTATTGAATAGCCTCCTAAGACCAGCACGTACCTGTGGCTGCCATCCAACGACAATAAAGATAAACAACCCTTGGAGTGCGTTAATAAGATCAGTGAAATACCACATGTAATCTGGACCACCGACAGCCCACGAGATGACGTCGGCTATCCATGTCACGCCCATCACGAATACGAGTTTGAGACAGACACGGCCCAGTGCAGCCCTGAAATAGCAAATAATTAATTTCAGAGAATTCATTGTAAAATTATTTGATCATGTTTGACAAGACAGGGTATCCATATTACTACAAGAGAACATGCGGTATTCTCGAAATATAGAATTTGCGAGATATGCGAGGTAATTGATTGTTTTTTCATCAATTGATGAAAATGTCGATATGATGATGAAACGTCATATCCGGTTTTGGAGCAATGAAAAGAGAAAGATGTATTGGCGATGTTATATGAACAAGTGAGGAGCAATTTTGGATTATCACCATTAGCTGTAGCCGCCATTTTGTATATCTATCGTGACAACGAGAAATGATGATAATTCGGTTGTGAATTGAGGTCTATAAATATCATAAAATAGTGTAAAATATAATGTGGTTTTTTGAAGTGAAACTCCTTTAGGCAAGGTATTGAACTCTAGATTATCCCCGGGCTATTTTATACGGTCAACCTTAGATGTTTTTAAGGCATAAATTACTTGGAAAGCGGGATGCTACATGCTATTCATCCAATAGCCCGGGGATAATATAGATGTTCAATATACCGGTCGTAAAATCTCTTTCTTTGTGATTTTTAGGGTAGTAAACTCGATTAGCATCACAACCATTCGTAACGAAATGTTTGACGCGCCACAGTGGTGATAGTGGTCGCTGTGCGAAGTGCTCCATAACGCCCTAGGATAATAAGGCCCCTATTCATCGACTGAGTCACTACGTTTCCCAAACTAGTATAGTCCAGGCAATCTAGAAAAGCCACATACTTTAGTAAATGCAAATTAGTCGCGCTTCGATGAAATTTATACCAAACGTCCAGAATATTGCCCTGAACAACATATCAAAATGGAGAGGGTCTAGGTGTTTCAATTATATTTTTAATTATTAAAAAACTATTGAAAATTCGGGGGTTAACCAATTGAGAATAGAAAAATATCAGTTTGTTGAGCAGAAAAACTCAACAAATCATAAACGAGAACCTATCCCCTAGGAGTTATCGTTTTTTTAAAATTAATTCATAACTACGTACTATTTACAATTGCCTAAAACAATCAGCTGTTAGCGCAAGGCCCACCCCCTGCTGCGCACGCAACCCACTCTCATCGGCGCTATGCGCAGAGCATTCAAAGAAAAAATTTATTGGGACATATTCTATATATATTAATGTATATTAATGTAATTACAATGATATTCTTTGGAGGAGTTATGAATTGAAAAATGGTAAATATACTATAATTTACTGGATTTTTTTAACTTCTTTTAATCCTTTGAATGTTCTGCGCATAGCGCCGATGTGAGTGGGTTGCGTGCGCAGCAGGGGGTGGGCCTTGCGCTAACAGCGGATTGTTTTTGGCAATTGTAAATAGTACGTAGTAATGAATTAATTTTAAAAAAACGATAATTCCTAGGGGATAGGTTCTCGCTTATGATTTGTTGAGTTTTTCTTGCTCAACAAACTGATATTTTTTTATTCTCAATTGGATATTCTGAATGAAAGTTATTCGTGTTCTTGGCGTTAACCCACCAATTTTCAATAGTTTTTTAATAATTAAAAATATAATTGAAACACCTAGACCCTCTCCATTTTGATATGTTGTTCAGGGCAATATTCTGGACGTTTGGTATAAATTTCATTGAAGCGCGACTAATTTGCATTTGCAATGCTAGATTGCCTGTACTAGTAATAATAATCGTCTTTAAGGGGGAACACAATGCCGCTAATTTTCCAATTTTTTAAACAAATTTCCTGGTGAAAGTTATCGATATTTTTACAAATCCAAGTACATTCATGTCCAGGAAGCGATAATGATGATTAATGTGCTTTGGGTTAAAAAAACATTAATAACTTTGAGCAGGAAATTTGTTTGAAAATTTCGAAGAAACGGTAGCCGTCTGTTACCCCTTATAAAAAAGCATGCACTGAAAAGTTTCAGGGCGCAAGGTGAAGGGCACATTCTCATGAGAACGACATGAACGTGACGGCCACCGTAGAACTAGTAACAATTATAATAATGCATTGAATTACGACAGCGTGATATACTATAACGTGGTATTTTCGTTGTTTTAACCGTTCAGTGATTTGAGAGGATTTCCAGATGAGAAGTCACACCTTGGGTGAAGCGAGAGTCATTTATTGGAATTTTGAGACCATATATTTTATTATTTTGCTTATTTTTGTTTTGTATCGCTATTACATCGTGGGATGGAGTCTGGATTCGTCATGGGAGTCTCCATCTGGGCCTCAATGCATTGAGGCGCACGAATTTTTACCGGACCAAGACATTTGGATGGGTCCGCACCAGAGAGGTACACGAAGGAGGAGTGGTGGCGCCAGCATAAGGAGTCTGGAATTGGGGACTCGGTTGACGTTATTAGTTCCGGCACTGGATAACTCCGAACTGACCTCAGACATTCGGGATAATGTTAATTTTCGATGGGAAATGATGTTGTATGGCGATTGACTTTTAGTATACGATATTGACGCCGCTTTATGGTATAACGCGATCGTGAAGGGATTGCGAGGTATCTATTGGCTCTCATTGGGTCTGTTATTAACGTCCAATCAGCGCGGAGATACTATTCTGTTGGACCAATCAGGTGGTCGCTTCGTTCCGAAGCGTTGTCGCGTGGATCCAGTAACACGGGCAACGGACACTTCTCGTTTGGACATCGTTCGGACCGCTATGCCAAAAAGTATTGTCTCTGGAAGGATTTCGTGGATTCTTTTGTTGAACGTTGTCCAGACCCGGATTTGATGCCATCGACCTGGCTGACTTTCGAAAAGAATTGTTATCTGAGAGTTTCTTCGAGCCGATGAGCGGTAGATTATTATTGTGTGATTTTGTTAATGAGTCCTACGAGATGTGAAAATCTAATGTTCCTTTTCCGACGGACGTTGGGTACGTGGCGATTGACGCCATTATTCATTGTGAAAAAATTTTGTGGCGATTCTCACTCCTCGTTCGGCAGCGTTATACGGGTTCTTCCATTGAGTTAGTTGATTGTAAATTGGAAGATTTTAGATTTGTGCACTGAAATTCAGTACGACTCAGTGATTTTGCCTTTTGAGGAAATTCATTCCGACACTCATTTCGCTATCGCTGTCTATTTAATATCGATTTTCGGGTGTTACGGTAGATGGGAATTCTCGAAGTCAGTGCTATTACCTCTCGAGATATTCTGTTATTTCTCTCGGCCTCTGAAATCCTAAACTCATCGTATTTAGTTTTCGGCGTAGTCGTTCAGAGACCGTTAATTTTTCGCAGTTATTGTCAGAGGGATTGTAGCGTTTTTCGGCGCTCAAGTTTTTGTTTTGTGCCAGGTGACATTTCGTCAGTTGCCGGCTGTGTTGTTTTCGTTTCTCGAGGCAATCCCCCTTTCAATAGCCTGTAGAGTCAGATTCTTATTCTCGCCACTTTGGGTGGACGCGCTGATCCCTCGGGGTAATAGTAGATTGCACCGCTGTTATTTTGGCTCATTGGTAATTTTTCATGTTATTTTACCGTTTGACCTTTTTTTGGACGACGGATTAATTGAGTGATTTTGACTGTTTTTTTTAATTGACTAGTATTTTATCTTTTGACATATCGCGGCTAGGGAATTGTATTGTGGCGGGTCTTTTAATCATTGATTTATTATTTTCTAACTTGTTTTTGTTTTATTTTCGAGGATTGAGTGCCTAGAATATCGAGAATAAGACGGGGTTTTATTCATTATGTTTCATTTGTGATTAGATTTCCGATTTTTAATTATTTTATTAAATTTATCTGTACCCAGCATTTCTGATTTCTTTTTGGTAAATTGGGACCCAGTCATTTCAAAATGATTTTTCGGAGCAGCGTTTTAGAACCCAGCGGCCTCTGCGGATGATATACTGAGCGGTCTGTCTGTAGGTTTATTTTGTGGATATCGTATTTCGGTTTTTATGCGTTTTGAGAGGAAACGTACTGGCGCTCAACTTTTGGTTATAAGATTTGATCGCCAAGGGCTGCGTATTTTCGTACTGTTCCGCAGAGGTACGAAGTACGTCATAATACAAATATTAAAGTGTCTAGAACGCCTCGTGTTATTGTTTTCCTCTACTAACCGCGAAAGTTTCATATGCTGGCATTGAATTAATAACTATTATAAGGTACGGATAAACGCCATAACCAAAAAGTGACTGTTATACAAATTAACAATTTCGTATCGAATACATCCAATACAAGTAGTAAGTGTCATAACCTATTTCACATATGAAAAAAAAAATTATAAAAAAACAAAGCCCATTCGTTGTGAAATTCTTTTGCAATTCTATTAAAAATTATATTTGGTTATTCCTCGCAATTGATGATAATAAATATTGATCAGAATATTTAATTGTAAATTCGAATATGAAAAAAAAAATTCAATTAATTAATAATTATTATTATTTTATTATCATAGTAATTCAATTTGGAAATGAATAATGATTCAACAATCTTAAGAACGAAATCGGGAACAACGGTTGATGCAGTGTTCGCACGATCTTGCATCAGCTTAGTTCGACAGTTTATGTATCCCATTTTAGTTATCACAAACCGATTATATCATTCTTGACATATGAGCAGCAGGATAATGAATAAATGATTAATTCGACTTGGAAAAAAAATTTATTTAAAGAAATTAATATTCCTGAAACTTTCCCTCTCCCTACTGTCCGTATTTTATTATTATGCTTGAGATAGCTAAACATCGAGGTAAAAAGGGAATAATTGTTTGAATTGACACCCTACTTAGAAGAATATGTCGGTGTTATTATAAAACAAGTGGGTAATTACTATTGTCTTGATATGGTGTAGTTATTTTTCTCATAAATTAGCAATATGCTTCCGAATGAGCATCTTGTACATTATTTTTTTATTGAATATCAAATTTATTATTTCATATTATTTCATTGAATTCGATGAGATATCTACTCCAATTCATTGTGTTTGATCCTCAACTTAAACCAATTATTATCATTTGATTATAAGTATTGA